GGAGACGCGCGGCTACCCCCCATCCCCCACCTGCCCCTGCCCGTGCCCCGCGCCGTGTCCATACTCATACTCATAACCGTATCCATCATCCTCGTCAGTGCGGTCGCCCTCCCCATCCACGTCTTCGTCATCCCCTTCTTCCTCCTCCCCAATCCCATCATTCTCTTCGCCCCTCATCTGCGCATGCTTCTGGGCCTGTTGCTGATGCTGCTGGCCTGTATGCTGCGGCTGCGATTGCGTCCATGTACTCCCGCCCCCGGCCGCCCCAGAACCACTCTCACTGCCATTGGGGTAGTACCACGGGTACGCGAAGTATTGACCCTGGGGCTGCTGCTGGTGCCCGTGGCTCGGCTCTGCGTGCGCGTTCCCCGGCTGCGTTTGTCGACTCGTACCCACGTGTTGCTGCTGCTGCTGACTGGTTTCTTGAAGCGTGTGCCGCCCTGTCTGCACTCCCATATGTACCTGTGACGCCGCACTCGTCTGTACTTGCGTCGACGCACTCGCTGTCTGCTGCTGGGTAGCACCGATCTGCTGCCCTTGCCCCGCACCCTGCGCCAGTCCCGGCGCATATGAATACCCACGCCCTTGGCCCTGATACGCTGCTGCATACGCCGCCGCTGCTGCGGCGAGCGAAGAGCTTGAGCTCGCGGACGGCGTGTAGGCGGGCTGGGGCTGCTGCTGCTGCTGGGTCTGTGCCTGCTGCTGCTGAGATGTCTGTGCGTGCTGCTGTACGGACGGCGAGTGTGTCCGCGGGTTTGTCGATGTATGTGATACGTTTCCCGACGCAAGCGAGTGGGCACTTGTCGACGTATGCAGCTGCACGCCCGCAGCAAGCGAGGACCCAGATCCCGACCCTATAGGCATTGAGGGAATCGGTGGCAGCGATGAAATCGGAGCCAGAGCCGTCCTCGCTCGCTTTGGCGGGCTCCCACCACTCCCTTCCACCGCGGCCTCCGCGCCCGGGTGTCGCGAGCGCTTGGTGCCTGGGCTGGCGGGGTGCGACGAGTCCGCACTGGCGAGGTGCGATGTCGATACGGATGTGGTGCTGGTTCCTGCGAGCGAATGTGAGGTGGGGGGCGGCATGCTCATCTGGGACGCCGTCCGCGCCGGCGGTGGGGGCATGTCGGTCGTGCGGGACGAATACGAGGACGCCGATGCAGTTGTGTGTGGCCGTGGATATACAGTCGGCGGCGGGGGCATGCGGGGCGACACGGCGGGGGGCTTCATGTACGCGTTCGCGGTCCTGCTGTTCGTGAGTGTGGAGGCGGAAGCTGTGGTGGGGGAACGTAGTCAGTCCAGCGGAAAACAATATATGAGAAGAAGAGGATGATGAAGCAAGGCGAGCGAAGCAACAGCCACTGACCACTCGCTACCCCGTTCTTCCTACGCACCGCGCTGGGCGCGGGGTCCCACCCATTGCTTTTGTGGTGCGCCTGTGTGAGACTGACGGCTGAAGGAGGGAAGGCGGTTAGCGTCTGCGTTCGGGCAGTCTGGATGTGGATAATCTTACCAGACACCACCTCCCTCCCGATCCCGCGCCTCCTCGTCTGCCGCTTCTTCCCGCCCCCTGCTCGCCCCTCCTTTAGTTCGTCCCGCTCCTCGCTCTCCCAACTCTTCCCATTCGCATCCTCCTCGCTCTCCACATCTAGCTCCCCGTCTTCATCATCCTCCTGCTCGCCCTCAGTATCCTCCTCCTCCGCATCCTCCTCTCGCTTCCGTTTTCCCTGCGCAGGCCGGCGTGCGGACGCGCCCGTACTTCGACTTGAAGCGGAGGCCGCGCCACCACGACTTGCACCGAGCTTTAAATTTGCAGGGAGTCGCGAACTGGACGCGGCGATTCTCGACGACAAGCTGCCGCCGAGCCCAAGATCCATGCCGGCGGCGAGCACCTCGTCGGCCTCGCCACGGTAGCGCGGGATGCCGTCGGGGCCTATCTGGGTGAAAGGAGGGAGTGAGTACGAGCGGCAGAGCAGGAGGTAGGCGAGAAAGCGGGGGAGGAAAGATAATAAAAAAGGGAGCAGTCGAGGGCGCGTATGAGAAACAAAAACAGGAAATGACGTCCAGGGAATAAGGAAGAGAGATGAGCTAGCCAGAAGTGTGACCACCGGCTATGTAAGCGACGGGGCACTTAACGGCCCGCCGCAGGCCGCAACCTCTAAGTCAATCCCTCATAGGGAGTCGCAAACCGACAATTAGCGCGGGGAGTACCAAAAGGAAGCCTACCGCTAAATTGCACGAAAGGAGGCGCTATGCAAAACAGAAATAAAGACAAAGAGAAAAGCAAAGAAAGAAAGAAGAAAAAAAGAAGAAAGGAAAACAAAAAAGAAAGGTGTAGACGATGCCTCGCCCAGATCGGGGAGTAACAAATGGAGGATCCCGAAGCAGGGAGAAGAGCGAGTCGAATCCCCGACATGGATTCACACTGACCGCCACTAGCTCCATTCCCAAAACGCGCCTGTGCCAGGGAGGGCTTCAGCGTCCCAATCCGCCGTACTCTGTACTGCAGATTGGTCTCCACAATCCATTTCCATCGGCTCTCCCCAGCGACTCTATGACGCGCTCCCAGAACGCGCGCAGCATAATCATGAGCTGAGGTGGATCGAGCACGCCCCACTACCAATACATGGACACGCCCCGCGGCCGCCGACAGCTCGCCCGAGAGAGCCGAGCAGGTAAGTAGGTGCCCCGGAATAATCAGAGCTGCCTCCCCGAGTAATAAGAATCAGAAAAATAGGAGAACAGGAGTCTCGCGTCGGGAATGGGGCACGACGATGCGTATGAGGGCAAAGAAAAAGAAAAAGTACCGCGACGGGAAAGCGACAGCCCGTACGCCGCTCCCGGGCAAACGAGCAGACAACGAATGAGAGAAGCAGAAATGTATAAGCTGGAGACACATCGAAAAGCTGGAGACACGAAACCAACGCACCTCCATCTTCGGCAGATACCTAAAGTTCGCGCGGTCCAGGAGGGCGGGGGAGATGTCCAGCGATGCGAGCTCGGGGAGTGAGGACGGCGAGCGCAGGCGGCCGGAGGTGACGTCGGAGATCTGGGTGATAGGCGTCAGACAATTGTATATCGAGATGAAGAAGGGATGGCGAAAATCGTGATGGGAATAAGGTAGGAGAAGTGGAAATCGGATCGGATGAAGTGAGAAGGGGTTAGGAAAGTGGACGGAAGTGAGAGGAAGAAAGGGAATGAGAATGAGGAGGAAATGGGCCGGACACGATGCGCGTACCTTGTAATACGAGATGAGATGCTGCGAGACGCCTGAGAGGGTGACAGAGAATGTCTGCGCGGGTAGCGTAGTCAGTAAGGGTTCATGAACATAAGGACAGAGAGGACGGAAGACGGAATTGAACGGAAAGCGATCAGAAAAGACGGAATAATATCAATATGGAAAAGAAAAAGAAAGAAGAAAAAAAAAAGAGAGAAAAAAGAGAGAGAGAAAAGCCCCGCACCTTCTTCATGAGCCCGTCGGCCTTGAACTTGTAGCTGTTGGTGAGGCTGCCCACAAGGGTACGCTCGCGATGTCGATCCATCTTGAGCTCGCCCCGCGACCGACTCAGGCTCTCCTTCGTTTTCGGTGGCATCTTCTTCCCGTCTACAGCTTCCCCCTCCCCATCCGCACTCTCTTCCGCGCCGTCCGTGTCCTTATCCGCCTCTCCTCCTCCTCCCCCACTCGCACCATCCCCCCTCCGCCTCCCCCGCCCATCCGTCTCCCGATACAGCAGAAAATTCCCCAATATTCGGCTCGGGCTCCAGAAAAAACCGTCTGTCCACCTCCTTATCCCGCTCTCCTTCTCGTCAAACACGAACACCGAGCCGCTCGCAATCATGCGTCGCTCGGCGTCGACGAGACGGCGCGTGACGCGCGGGATGAGGCCACGACGCGCCGCCTCGAGGATGAGGAGCGCGTCGCCGGTGGATTCGATGAACCCGCACCATGGGGGCTCCGTCAGCGATGCTTGTACGCCTGCAGGCGCCATCCGCTCGTTCTTTGTAGTGGTTGTTCGACAGCGTCGAGTTTCTTTTCTTTGTTTCTTCACGTCCAGCCAAAATATTCACAACTTCGTTATTCTGTCGCGTCGTTCTTCAGGTCTTCGTCCCCAGCGAGCGAGCGATGCCTGCGACGCGCCATGTCAGGATGAGAATAGAGTTTGATTCCGCGAGACATAGCCCCGCGCGCACCTGGTAACTGGTTACAGCAACGCGCTGAAACTCCGCTCCGCCGTGCCGTTTTGCTGCCGCCTCCGTCTTTTGTCTCTCGCGTTCTCGCTTGATCGTGCCACTTGACTTGCCTTCACGCTTACTTGCTTCCTGGCGTAAAGCGGGCCTCTCTTGGGTCCCGAGAGAAGGAACGCGGACACCCGTGGTCGCCGTCTGATGCAAAGAAGACTCAAGAGCTGAATGCAAAAAAAGCTTAGTCAGCCCGCCGTAATGCCGCGTTCAGCAGGATGCATGTATCCTGTTTTTCGTGCACTCTATCCTCCTCGTGTTGGCCAAGATATTATCCGGTGACCCAGCGAACTCCGTTCAAGTCTATCTTTGGAATTATACCTTGGTGCGCCACCAATTGAATTGATGCACCGTACGAATCACCGATTGATATTTTATGTCTTTCTGTCAACGCGCTCGCTCATCTATCCTTTCCCTGCGTATTTAATTGCAATTGCGGGTCCGCAAATTCATTACCACCTATTATTTCTCAAGCTAGGCTGTGTTGGACCCGCTATGACGACAAAACTTGCCAGGAATACGCTATACTTGCTATCGCCGCGCTCGGACGGATCTCTCAAGCTACCTGTCCATTTTCTCACTGCAAGCTGGATTTTCTGCCCGTAAAGTCAGCTCTATTCTCGTGTTTGAGTCTTTGCAACATGTATCTGTTTTGTCTGTCTGCTCCTTTCGTAAGTTCTGATCTCCCCCGCCGGGTTTCGTCAGAAAGAAAGAAGAAGAAGAAAAACTACAACACAAACCCATTTACAATTAAACACCACTACGACCTAATAGCGAATGGTATCGCGTCCACAGTCTGACGAATCCCTCTAGCAGTGGAAGATCCTGGTTCGATTCCAGGTTAGGTCACTAGGACCTCGTTCCTCTTTTTCTCTTTCTGTGGTCACATCTCGCGTCTTTGCATGCATGTCCTTGTGTCAATGGATGGAGTACCCTTGTTCCTCTTTTTCGAACCCCTTTCAACCCAAATCAACCCAATCAATCTCTTTCTGTCTGGCCGCTCCGATCCCAACCTGTCGTCGGCTCTGAAACCGAAACCTCTTCCCAACGAAAACTATAGCGGAAATCCACGCACAATTCAGATTCAGAGCGACCTAATGGCGGATTGTGTCGCGTCCACAAGCCTTATCGCGAGTCCACTGAACAGTGGAAGATCTTGGTTCGGAGCCAGGTCAGGCCCTGGACCTCTACTCGACTCCTTTTTCTCACCTCACCGGACCACCTCAACCTCCACTCAAGTCGAAGATCCATGGTCGAATGGAAAGTTCATAAAATCGTTTCTCATCGTTACTCAGGCTGGGCTGCTATCGCTTTGCGGAATTCATCATTTCAACCACCCATCTACTCGTCGTACATCCCGCCTGCGTTCGCAACCAACCGAAAGAAGAGAGAGAAAAAGCTCCACAAACCCACCACCGATTCAGTACTACTATGACCTAATGGCGAATGGTATCGCGTCCACCAGCTGACAAAAAACTCGGCGAATGTGAGTGGAGGATCCTGGTTCGACTCCAGGCTAGGGCATGCGATCTCGACATACTTCTTTTTGTCTCTTGCTTACCGGACACATGCTTATATCCCAATAAATCGTGCCAAGAGAAAATACCCCCGCGCAGAGCAAAGAAAAAGAAGAAGAAAACGTAACGGTTCCGTTTCGGGAAAGATAATCCTGGGTCAGATATAAAATCCCCTATTCCAACCCGAGGCTTGGTCCCTAACAACCTCCATACCGTCAGCGCCCAAGAAAGTCAGCACAAACTCACCAGCAATTTTGTACAAGCACGACCTAATGGTATCGCGTCCACAAGCCTTATTGCGTCGACTGTGCTAAGTAGCAGTGGAAGATCCTGGTTCAAATCCAGGTTAGGTCATTCGAGTGCGATCTTCTTTTTGTGTGGACTTGGGGCTATCCATACTACTATTATGCAAGACTCGAGATACCCCACCGACGAATATATTGCCTCGAATGGAAAACCAACATCAACGATATCGCCCAACCACGCGTTCTCAAGTGCCAAAAACGCGTCTGAACCTATCTACGCGTCTATGACGCGTCGGACGCGCCCCTATGGCCCGAATTGGCCGGAATGACATCTTTGCTACCAATTTCTTTCCCGATTTGGCACCCGATTTGTTTCCGCGCAAACGAAATTCAAATGAGTTTACTTCCGCCGATCAAACTTGTACAAATTCAAGGCATATAAAGAGCGGCGCAGATTTCCTCAGCAACCCATTCCCTCCCTCTTCCGTACCACCACCACTGCCACCGGTACCCACACATTCCTTATCCCACCCGCTACTCTCTTTTCTACATATCATACCACCATGAAGTATTCCATCCTCGCGTCCGCCGCCGTCGTCTTCTCCTTCATCCACATCGTCGACGCCCGTCCCGCCAAACGTGATTTAACCGGTACGTCGTCGTCGCCCGCCTCTTTTGACGCCGTGTCCTCATCTCGCCCAGATCCGCAAGTCCTCAACTATGCTCTGACGCTTGGTAGGTCGTCTCGCCTTCGTTGCATCCTTCTTGAGTTCTTTTTTTTCTGCAGAGCACCTCGAGGCAGCATTCTACAAGCAAGGCATCGAGAAATTTTCAGAAGCCGACTTCATCAAGGCCGGATTCGCCGAATGGGCGCGCGGACGTTTCACCCAAATTCGCGACCACGAATCGACTCACGTCGACTTCCTCACCACCGCGTTGCAAGCCGCCGGCGCCAAGGCCGTCCAAGCCTGCGAGTATAACTTGTGCGTCTTATTTATGTCTTTTTCGCATCTCGCTGAGCCCACTTCAGCCCCGTCACGGACGTCACCTCCTTTGTCGACCTCGCGAGCATTCTTGAGGCCGTCGGAGCTACTGCGTATACGGGCGGCGCGCAGTTCATCAGCAACAAGGTTCGTTCATTCTTCTAAAACGTCGTTCCTCTGCTGAACACTCCCCAGGGCTATCTCACTGCGGCCGCATCGATTCTTTCGGTCGAAGCAAGACACGCAGCCTGGATCAACTCGGCCGTCAAGCAAGGCTCCGCATGGGACACCGCGTTCCAGACGCCTCTTCTGCCCAGCCCCGTTTACAGCCTCGCCGCCCCCTTCATCAAGTCCTGCCCCGCGTCCAACGCCGAGTCCCTGCCCGCGCTCACCGCCTATCCATCACTCGCATTCGCCACCCCTCAGCCGCGCCCTGGCCAGACGGCGACCCTCACCTTCGACGCGCCCAAGTCCGCCTCCGCGCTCTTCGTCGCGTTCATCTCCGGTGCGGGTGCGCCCACATTTGTACCCATCCAGAACGGCAACCAGGTTTCGATCCCCGGAGATCTGCGCGGATTCGTGTTCTGCATCGTTACTAGCGACGGGGCGAAGGTGGATGACTCGACGACCGTCGCAGGCCCTGCCATTTTGAACATCGCGTACGATTCGAGGGGTCAGCTTGTTTGATTCGTTACTCTGTTACTCCTTTTCTTTCTATGGGTTCTCTTTGGGTGCATCAATGAATCATGGTTCAATATCATTTCGTGTGATTGTGACTCGGATGCACTGGCAAGCCCGAGCAAAGTTCAATGTTCGACGTGCAGATAGCAGCTACCAACTTACTGTATGCCGCAATATGGAACGCAGATGACGCTGAACATTAATGGATGGTTCATTCGTTTTCAGAGCGTGCATGACGCCAAATTCATCAGATCTCTTCAAGATTCTCTTTCAGTGTTCAACGCGGACGATACCGGGATGTTGAATTGATGGCCACGGTTTGATACGCGCGTGTCTTGGCGCATATTTAAATAAGTACATCCCACTAAGATATGTCGCGAATCCACCCACAATTCAAGACCAGTACGACCTGATGGTGGAAGGTATCGGTCCAGAAGTCGGACCTTTCGTATCTGGGAAGTCCCGGTTCATTCCCGGGGCGGGTCATGAATGGACCCTCCCCCGGTGCTGCCTTCTTCCAACGATTTTAACATCTCTGTCTAGGCGATCCCAACCTCTCGTCTTAATTCCCGAAACGTCCCAAACTCTTGCACAAATCAATGGGCAAGTCAGTGCATCTATGACCTAATGGCAAAAGGTATCGCGTCCCCGGTTCATCTGGGGGCTCCGGATGTAACTTTCAGTGATGGAGGAAGGCCCTGGTTCGACTCCAGGTTAGGTCATTGTTGTGCTCCATTCTTGATTTTTGTCTGGACTTACCTAACCGGACGCTGGAGAATAAACATTCTTCCTCAGATTAAATTTAAACCCAGTTCTCTGCTCAAAATTCCGTCCTCTGGATGAACGAAACTCCTTCTAGGCTGAAAGGTTCAAGTCCACTTCCTGATCCCCGTCCGCGTCCCAAAAGTTATGAAAAAAATCGCTCGCCTGAATTGTGGAAGGCCCTGGTTCGAATCCAGGTTGGGTCTTGGGGTGATCGTCATCGTCTTGTAAAATTGCTTTTTTGTACTATTTTACTCACCAGGAGCGCATTTTAAAAACGCTCCCGCCAAATTGGAGCTATCAGGCCTTCGCTTCCACATACATATCTTCGCCCTCTGCCATTGGTCTCCCGAACAAAATTTCCTGGACCTCAATGTTTGGAAGATGAAGCTCATTCGTATTCCTCCAAATGTCCCCGAGATCCAGCCCTGAACACCAGAATCCTCCCACGAAGTCCCCTGCACAGAGGTATGAATAAGTGTGAGCAGGTATGGCACCGAATGTAATGGCGTCCTTCAACCCCCGGATGTATCCAAATCGGATCAATCCGGCAGGTTGAACTTGGCCACCACCGGAAATGGTACGTAATCTTGCCTTCAGCATCTTAGGCGACGCGTTATGAGGTGAGGGATAAAATTGAACGGCCCATTCACACATGCGATAAAACTCAACCAGCGCTACGGCGCAGACGTAGTCACTCGGATTTCGCAAACTAGCAGCCAATTTTGTTTGTGATTCTCACTCACTTTCCTCTTGCCCCGAAGCGAAGCGAATGAACATTCATTTTGCCCTACAATGAATTTTGATCCTACTTTTTGTACTGAATTTATCCCGCTTCTTATCAGTTATGACATCAGCCCGCGGGAAGCATTTCCGCAATCGGCTAGAGTTCATAAGCGGGACGCGAAGTGTTATAAGGTCAAGGATGAAAGTTTCCGCATGCGAGAAAAATTAAAGCGCAGACTCACTCCCACGTATTTCACGCAACTAACCGCCACTGGCAAAAAGGTCTCGATTTTGCAATGTATTTTTATTCTGTTTTTTGTATTTTTATCCCGCTTTCTATTGAGTATGACATCAACCCGCGGGAAAGCATTTCTACAAACCCGCATTCCTAACTAAGCGGGAGATGTACCTGACGCCTACATACCTCCGGTTGGCTGCAACTTTGGTGGGCGCATCAGGCCACATTTCTCCACGGGACTCGCATTTCACACATTCCAAACCCGCGCCGTTAGTTTCGGGAGATATGTTTCATCTTGCCGACAAGATCCGACTCGACTCAATTGAGGGGGAGGGACGACAATCTCGGATGCTGCGCGTGGAGTATAAAATATCCCTGTTGCTATTACCTCCTTCACTGAACTTCTATGGCCCTTTTTTATTGTCTCCTTACCGTGGCGGCTGCAGTTCGAACCACATCGGCCACTTTTGTGTCGCGTCCTGACATTGTCCCTACTCCGTGGAACATAACATATGTCGCCGATGGTGCGGAGCTCGCGGATGGTTATATATTCGTTGCGCCTCGTGGCACGCAGCCCACTGGCCTGATGATTTTCACTGGCACCGGCGATCTGATCTATCTCAATAACGAGACCGCGGTCGCAAATGCTATGAATTTTCGTCCTCAAACATTCGAAAATGACCAATACCTCACTTTCTGGGCCGGAACAGTCACCAATCAAGGCTATGGTCTGGGCCGCGACTTCATGTTGAACCACGACTACTCCCTCGTATACAATCTCACTGCCACGAACCAGAGCGATTTTCATGAGGTATGGTTGTATATCCTTTTACAGTCGTCTGACAGTCTGTCGTCTACGAACCCTGACTGATTACACCGACGCCCAGTTCCAAATCAATGCAGACGGAAATGGGTTGGCAACGGTGTATAATGTCAGACACGGCGTTGATACCACTGAGATACCCCTTGGCCTCGCAAACTCGTTTGTCCTCGACAGTTGCTTCCAGGAACTTAACATCTCCACCGGCCAGCCCACCTTTACCTTCTGCCCACTCGGGAGCGGAATCTCGATTTGGGACTCGTTTATCAGTCCAGAGACCTCTCCTGATACAACGGCTAGAGCATGGGATTTTTGCCATGTAAGAAGCACAAAAATTAAATAGTTCTATTGTTAGGTTGATATCGACCACACGCGCAGATCAACTCGTTGCAGAAGGACGCGCTCGGCAACTATCTTTTATCTGGCCGTCACACTCACACCGTGTACTACATCGACGGAGGGTCGGGACAAATCCTTTGGCGTACGTCGTGCCACTTCAATTTTCTCCAATTTTGCTGACGCAACATCACAGGTCTCGGTGGAAAGAATTCAACCTTCATTGGTGACGGTGTGAATTTCAGCTGGCAACATCACGCGCGCTGGGTTGGAGAGAATAATTTTACCGCCGCTGATACCATGGATGCGATTCGGCGAAAACACGCCGAATCAGTCTCTTCGACAATACTTCCAATGGCCTGGCCACGAACAGCACACAAAGCCTCGGCCTCCTCATCGAAGTTGATTTCGAAAACTTGACCGCAGCTATCATCACTACATTCAGCTCTCCGGGCGGCGAAACGCTTTTGTCCCCTAGCCAAGGCAGTTTGCAGATTCTTTCCGACGTCCCCTCCGCGATGTCTTCAAACGCCATCATGGTGAGTTTTGTAAAACTTAACATCCTTGGTTCTCACTTTGTATAGGGATACGGGCAGCTGCCGGTCTTCGCAGAATACTCCAGCACCGGAACCCCGCTTCGTGTCGTCCACTACGGAGTTGACCGCAACCAAGGATACCGCGTCTTCAAAAATTCGTGGGTGGGAACACCTGTGACTGCCCCCGACGCCGCAATTCAGGATAATATCGTCTATGTTAGCTGGAACGGTGCGACTCAAGTTTCGCAGTGGTCCCTCATGCAGGGCAACACCATGAACTCATGGTCCAACGTGACCAATGTTACGCGCACGGGTTTCGAGACGGCGATTCCGCTCGGCTCCGCGAAGGTTACTGTAGTATTACGACCAGAGGTTCACGGGGTGTCACCCGTCACCTCAAAGGTTCACTGAACTCAAGGTTCATTTTTCGGCAATCATGTCAACATTACCCTATATGGTAGTCCGGCGATTGCCGGACGAGATTTTTTCGTGTTTTTGAGCCTATTCGGGCCAGAAAATCGCTTCATCACCATCACTCAGGCCAAATGGTTCATTTCACGGACCACTGTCACCCGTCACCTGAACCTTCGGTCGTAATACTACAGTATCCAGCTTGCAGCGCTCGACGCCAGCGGGATCGTTCTCGCGAAGACGGTGGGCCTCTCGTCGGGCGGAGAGAGGTTGGGCGGTGCGGTTAATGGGGTCGGTACCTCCGCTCAGCTTGCGGTGACGTCCTCGTAGGCAAACCCAGGGTCCCAGATAACTGAGCACTGTGAGCAGCTGGGTGAAATGTTTTACAACATCGGGAGCTTGCGAGGTCTGTTTACAAGAGACTAGAAATGCATTCATGGTTAACGAATATCCAACTTACATACTCATTGCTTGCTTGCTGACGCACATGAAGATATTGATTCTGTAATAGATTTGAATCGATACGCTGCTTGTTAGTAGCTTTTCATGAACACGCAGTAGACACAAAAACAAAACTGCCTTGGCTCAAGTAAACGTTCAACGTCCACATCGCAAATGAATTTCCCACATACCTCATTGAGATCGAGAATCTATCTCTGGTTTTGCAGTCACGCATTGGGTCGCACGCCTTGGAAAGCGAATATCAGTTCCTGGATTTCTTTGCATGGAATCGCTGCGTTCTGGTCGACTCGTAACCGGTCTGCCTACAATTCAAAGCGGCAAGCACTCTGCTGTAGGCAAAGTGCTTGCCCACCACTTTGCGAAAATTGTAGGCAAACTGGTTACGAGTCTAACGTTCTGGATCTCCACTCGGTCGGTAACTGACAGTATTCAGACGCGGAAACAGTTATCCAAATCCCGCGTCACACCGATCTTGTTAACATGTAGGTTGGTGGAATCCAAAGTGATGATTTGAAGATGTGAGACAGCGCAGGGGTGGAGGAAGGTGTGCGTAGTTCGCGGCTCGGGGGCGAGATCGAAATATGTACGTAATTTCCGATTCCCGAAGCTTGGGATAACACAGAGCAAGCGATGTGAGAACTGAAAGGGAAGAGGGGTATGCCGTTGCCTTCATATAGAGCCAAGATTTAGAACACTTCGACACGCTCGTTAGGCTGGCGATAACGTGTCGTACATTTAATAGGGGAAGTCAAAGCGGTTTGCAGCATCGATTCTGAGTCGATTCTGATGTCGATTCTGATTTCGATTCACGACTCGATTTTGGCATCAGAATCGACCGAGAATCGACTGCGGACCAGAATCGATTTGGACCCTAACCCAAGGAATAATGATTACTTCTACTTCAAGGCTTGTTGGCTGGTGCACTGTCAGTATCTGGCCTTCGGGTTTCGGTTCTGGATTGAAGTAAGTGCCTGATACGAAACGAAAGAATCAATACTTGAATTCCACCGACCACAACAGTGCAGACAAACAGCCTCTACGATTTATTCTGTTGATGCGAGCTCTTCTCGTTCAATTGGGCTGCTAACCCCAGGTCTGGTCTGCAATGTATAGTAAACAGGCATAATATTATGGGCTATCTCGATAATGCAGTGAAATCTCATGTCATGTTTATCCTTGGACCGAGATTGAATCGCTTTTAGAATCGACTTTAGAAAAGGGCCGGTCAGAGTTGAATCCGATTCTGGGTCGATTCAATTTGCTGAATCGACATTCGAATCGACATGTGAATCGACCCAGAATCGAAACAGCCCGACCGCTTTGACTTCCCCTATTCTTGGATCCAGCGTTGGATCGCTTGTGGAGAGAACAAGACAGCCTGATCCCGCTCCTTTCATGCTTACCTGGCTTCTGGGGTGCTCCTGACCATAC